AGTGATGGTCACATGACTGGCTGGTCTGTGTGTGTGCAATTCCACATACTGTACATGGAAGACATTCGGAACGTTTATAAGCTGTAGGGTTTTTATTTTTAGAAAGGAAATTTTAAAACAAGTAATTGATTTTTGGAATCTGATTTCATGTAATCACAGTTTACTGAAATACAGCTTTTGAGTTCAAAGGTGCAGCAGCTGTGTGAGGAAAGTGTGAAAGTGGTGTTCTCTCTTCTTCAGTGTTTCACAGCTGAGTGAATATCCTGTTAAAAAAAGAAAAAAATCACACCCACAGTTGAGGATTCCCCTCTGCAGAACATATGAATAATTAAGAAAGAGATGGTTTCCGTGCTGTTGGTTCTTGTCTATATTTATTAGCATTTTGAAAAAGCTTCACTGTTCATGTCTTGGAGTGCAGTTCCACGTCTAAACATCTGATACTTAAGCTTGTGTATATACGTCAGTGAAAGTCTAGTGCTTTCAGTGCCCATTTTATTGTAATCAGCCAGGAGGAGTATTTATATGAACAAAACACAAAGTATGCATGTACATATGAGGAAATTATCCCAAGGGCATCTGTTCTTTTGAAACAGTGACTGCCTGTTAGTTTAATGCAGAATCCGTGTAAATGGCTCATTCAGTACATTGGCTCCAAGCAGGACCTACTAATGGAGCCCTGTCTCTATTTCCCCACGCCCGGCTCTGATCTGCAGCCAAAGGATGCAATGATATGGATCACAGCCTCCTTATGGGCCAATTCTGGAGTATTCAGGCTCATATACAAACACCATCAGTCTCTGTCTTTGAAGTGGGCCAACAACAAGCCTCAAATTGAGGAACCACCCACATTATTTGATTGACTTTTATTGCTACATTTTTAAGATGTGCCATTTGAAAGTCTTGTTCTCCAGTACTTTGAAAACCCCATGAAATATCTCGACAACAGCAGTTTTTGTCCTGTGTTTCATGGGTAATTTCCTGTTTGGGAAGGGAATATTGACAGGCTCATTGCTTGCGAAAGGTTTGGTACATGTTAGTCTGTTGAGTGGGAGGGGCATTCTCGTCCTGGAGAGCAATTGATTGGACAAAAATAAATCTGGGGATTACTGCAGAGTCATCATTTATTTGGTCTGTATTTCAAAGGTGAGGGACTTTACATTTTTATTTTGTTAATTATTTATGACTAAGCAAGTGTTAGGGAAAGTTACTTAAAGTTACTTAAAGGAGTAGTTCACTTTTCAAAAAACTTTTGCTGCTAATTTACTCACCCCCATGTCATCCAAGATGTCCATGTCATGCTTTCTTCAGTCGAAAAAAATTAAGGTTTTTGATGAAAACATTCCAGCATTTTTCTCGATATAATGCACTTCAGTTCAAGGTCCAAAAGAGTTTCAGTATAAGGGTCTTATCAAGCGAAACGATCGCTCATTTAATAAATAAATAGCAAAGTATAAGTTTTATAAGCTCAAATGGTCGCCTTGCTCTGTTCTGTGAAGCACCTGTTCGAACTCGTTCATCAAAATGAACGAATCTTTTTCCGAGTTGTTTGGTTCATTCAACGAACGAAGCAAATGAATTGACTTGGAAAAAGATTAGTTGATTTTGATGAACGAGTTCGACTGAAGAAAGAAAGACATAGATATCTTGGATGACGGGGGTGAGTAAAATATCAGCAAAAGTATTTTCAAAAGTGAACTACTCCTTTAAGTTACTTTTTATGAAGCTTTTTCTCAGGGTCTTGGTTGCTTGTTTGTTAATTAAAACAGTTTTTTCACAACAAAAGTGAATGAAAACGAAATGCAAATTCACTCATATACAGTTAAGGAAGCAGCTTACACAAACCTTTCAAACCTTTTTTGCGCTACCATTCTAGATTTCAGAAGAATAAGATGTAGGGAAAGAAAGTTCAAAACAAACAAAAAAATTAACATTCATTTACCCAAAGTCATTTTGCTTATTGTATGGCTAAATTGGATCATCGAATGTCAACAACAAAGACATTGGTTAATATAGTGATATTAAATACATAAAGTATTTGTATTATTTAACATTAATTATTGCAATTTTATTTTGAGTGCATTTTACTGTTTTTATTCATTTTAAAGAATACTGAATTTGTTTTTGTGCAAGTGAGATGAGTAAATACTTGCTCACATTTAGTCTACATACAAGAACTATCATGTTCACACACAACGCCTAAACATGAGGACAGAAGAGCTATCAGTCAATACATGAGAAAACAAAGTAACTCACATTACTCATTTTAAAAAGCAACTCAGATATTTTGTTGTAAATTTAAAAGTAATACGCTACTTTATTAGATACTTGGAAATATATATATATATATATGAAGAGCTCTTTTCCAAAACGCTATAAATCTATTTCAATAGTTTTCAGGAAAACTACATTTTTTACCTAGACCCACACATTTTGTGAATATTCAAATTATCCTGTTTAAATGTTTTATTGGTTCAGTCTGAACATTTTGAACAATAATTATTAAATCAAACAACAATATTGTTAATGATAATTTAAAAGTTAATTTTATTTTTTTCCAAAACGCTATAAATCGAAATAAACCTCAAACAAATAGTACCAATTTCAACATATGCATGAAAAAAACAAATTATTAATACCAATTTCAACATATGCATGAAAAAAACGAATTATTAAAAATGATCAATATATGAAAACGATATTCAAAAAAGGGATGGGCACCCCTCCAGCACATGCACACACACACACAGGCTACATAACATGTGAGCAAAGCGGAGCAGCATGACGCTTAAATATAAGTTAACAAAAAAACAAAATAAACATTTCACATTTGTTTTTAATAATATTACATTACTTATTTTTATTATTTCATCTATGTTGAGTAGGCTATGAAAAGGGAACCGCATGAGATGAGTAAGATAGGATCAAAATTCAAAAGCTGCCCAATATCGGAAAATATTTGGAGTGCGTCAGACATGATTTTGACCACTTATTAAGTTTTGTTTTGTAGAAAGCTTGTAAATTTCGTTTCATATAAATTGTATCTTCATTTTAATAAATGTTTCATCGACAAATTGACTGGATTAATACATTAGAAGTAAATATCAGACAATATAATCAGGACACAGAGGCACGCAGGTGAACCGGAGCGCGTCTCATAATATGAACCGAAACACCGCGATGCTTGCCTCACACAGGCCTGAGAACTAAGCTACAGAAAGCTTTAAATATCTACTTTTAAACAAAACAATTAAAAACTAAAATAAATTGGCAACTCTCTGCGTATGTAGGCTAATTCGAAGTATGCGTTTCTCTATGCGCGTTCACTGCGAAGATGGCGAGTAAGCTTTGTTGCTGACACTGACAGAAAACACTAGTTTATTAATAAACAATTCAAATGTTTCATGCATAATCATTACTTTTGCCGGTTCTTTGTGGCAAGCTTTATGCATACGTTGAGATGCGGAATATGCAATTAAAAACGCTCATATGGTTTCTCTCCCATTTAATTAAATCAATATATGTGATTACTGATAATACAAATGGCTTAAATGATCTACTACTAGTCGACTAGAAAACTAGGACTCATTTTGAGGAATGAATGAACATAATAAACCTCTGTTCAGAGTGCCGCCGTGCTGGATTGTGTAGAGCGCTCATTGAATTTGAGGATTTATCGTGTTTAGGCTAAAAACAGGGCTGGCGCTTATCGTGGTTTGGAAAGAAACTGTATCTTGCAGTACATTTTAAACAAGGAAATATAGCGATTCGGCATGAAACGTTGATAGAGCAGTGAAAGGGTTCTGTCCGCAGCAGAATGACACGACAAACTCATTTTTTTTAAAAATGTCGTTTAACGCGTTTTGGAAAAGAGCTCTTCATATATATATATATATATATATATATATGTATATATATGTGTATATATATATATATATGTATATATGTATATATATATGTATATGTATATATATATATGTATATATATATATATATATGTATATGTATATATATATATGTATATATATATATATATATATATATATATATATATATATATATATATATATATGTGTGTATATATATATATATATATATATACACACACATACACGCACCTTAATATTATGATAATATCTTATGTTAAAAGTTAATTTTGTCAACCTATTTATATAACTATGAGACTAAAATAATAATACCTTAATTTTAAATTAATTGAAAAAAAAAAATAATAACAAAATAATAATACAAATATTTAATACGGTTTAAGGTTTATAATAAGGTTTTGGTCTAATAAATTTAAAATATTGTTATCTGAATCGCATTAAATGACAAAAGAAAAAAGTTGTAATAACAAATCATGAAAATTTAGCACAGTGTATTGATTGTGTTAGAAAAAAATGTTGAATTGAATTTGTATTGTCTGCAGTTTTCTGTATAAAAAACGCTGCTTGTATCATGTAACTGTGTTTGACCTCTGTGAGACAGACAAGGCGTGTGTGCAGAATAAACACTGTGGTTACGTTAGTTAATCATACCAGCATACCGGCTCTGTCAGCGTTCAAATGAATAACACTCGACCTGAGAGAAGATCAACAAAGTAACGTGTGGTTTTAAGGATGTGTTGAGTTTTTTGTTGCCTTGTCGCTTTGTCTAAAAGCACAAATTATCACTCTTCCATGTAATGTTGAAATAAATGGATTAAAGCAGCTGAAGTGTTCTTAAGATGAAAGCAGTCAGTGTTTTCGAGAGATTTGAACTGGATTTACACCAGAGAGGGCGAGATGTCACTTCAGCGAGGTGAAACCAAGCAGCAGTAAGGTGTTCTCCCGTTACCCTATGCAACGGTTCAATATGTTGCCATGGCAACCAGCCTCCTCAATTAGAGAAATGTCCTCAACCCCCACTAGAGTAAGGCTTTGCCGTCTTTGCAGTGCGATTTGAGATTTATATATCCTGGTAAATTCATATATCCTGTGTTGTCATGCTTGTCTTTTCTGCAGTTGTCTCAGGCAGCGTGAAGGTTAAACGGGGGTTTGATGGAGCCGTCCACATGGGCTGTTTTGGTGTGGATGACAGGAGGACAAGCGGAGTGCATCTGCCCTCCGGGGCAAGAGAATGCCGGCTGAATGGAGAGCAGAACATAACCAGTGCGTTGCCAAGGTAACGTGGAACAGAACACCGCGGTGAGAGAAAGGAAGCAAGGGATGAGGGGGAAGGGGGATGTTGGGACAGGTAGGAGTGAAATAAGAAAACGGTGGTCACCCGCTGCATAGGCTGTTGTACTATGATCGCACTCCAACAATTTGAGGGAAGTCCTGCTTCAAGGACACAAGGTGAAGAGCGCAGCACAACACAGTTTGTCAAAATGTGTCCTGCTCTTGTCACTACTGAATAAGAGCTTGGCCGAGCTTGCGGTGATCTTGTCCTTGAAGTATGTTGTGAGTTCCTCCTTCGTGTGAGCTTTTCTTGGATAGTACACACTGTTCGCTGGTTGACTTGTAAAGCTGTGTCCTATTTATTTGAGCTTTTATCTCAGTTTTTGTTGGTGGATGTTTTGATGAAAATGGATTGCTGTCATCAGCTTGCAGAAGTGAATCATTTCATGTTATTGTGCATGTGTGTTGACTGTTTTTAAATTACAAACTGAACGTTGTACCAAAAATATTTTTTTTGTACAAATGTTTCCCCTCCATCCCGCTTTTTTGTTTGTTATTTTTTTTACTAACTCCGGCGAACAATGAACCTTTGGTCTAATAAAACATCGGTACATAGTCAACCGTTCTCTGAGATTTGTTTTCATGATAATCGAATGTAAAGAGTTTTATCTCTAAAAACTGTTTAGCGTATAATGCTAGTAATGGGGGCATATTATAAGTAAAAAGAAATCGCTAGTTTATACCACTAACAAGGCTCAAAATAGCCCCACACTAACGCAGTAACATAATGAGGGTCCATACATGCAAAACGAAGCATTGAGAACTTTGTAAGTGTACAGACCGTTTAATAAGAAGATACTTTATAAAGACAGTTCACTTCGTGTATACAGACAGGAGCCATCTTAGAAAATAGTCTCGATAAGTCGATCCCCGACCGCCGTTCATACAGTTCGCTGAGGTTCGCTGAACTTTATAGAGTGCCGAAGTTACGACGTCACTCTGTAGGCCAAAACGCGGAAGTGAGTTAGCATTTTAGCACTTCCGGTTCCCTCGCTCTAAAGTCTATGGGATTTTTGAATGGGTTTTTGCTAAATCGCCTGAAATAAGGTCTGTGGTGAACAAAGCCTCTAAATATGTTCACGTTTTGATCTATGACATAAAACACACAGTTATAACCAGCTTGTGGTTTTTTAAACTTCATTGTGTCTGCTTGTGTTTTAAAAAAAAAAATATATAGGCTTCAAAATGTATAAATTTTGGACTAACTTGTAAAGATCATCTTGATAGACAAAAACGTGTTAGGGTCACAACTCTTTGTTAAACACAGATCTTATTTTTTGCAATTTTCCAAAAGTCAATGGGGAAAATGCATAGCTTTTCGATCAAGCCATGCGCCGCTAGCTTCCGAGTTGTCCTACAAAGTGACGTCATCACTTCGGCACTCTATAGAGTTCAGCTCACGCAGCACAACGTTCGTGGTTCGACTTATCGAGTCTGTTTTCCAAAGATGGCTCCTGTCTGTGTACATGAAGTGAACTGTCTTTATAAAGTATCTTCTTATTAAACGGTCTGTACACTTACAAAGTCCTCAATGCTTCATCATAATAACTGAGCAGCACGCCTCCACCCTCTCAGTTATTTCTGGAATATCTTTCTTTTATAAATATAATGGAACTGAGTGTTTCACCCCCCCTTTAAGTGTTACTCCGCAGTGGTATGAGCTGAACCAGTTTAAAATAGTCCCAATATAAAAACTTATTATAGGTGTACCGTAGTGATTCAGGATGAGACAAAAACACGGTTTGGAAAATGGATTCATGATGTACTCGCTTATTATATAGCCTACATTTAGTCAATTTTGAGCACAAAAAAAGTTACAGACTGCAGCTTTCATTTCATGACAGCAAGAGCGAGTCACATACAGTAGAATATAACTTCAGTGTTTACATGATGTCCATCATTTAGATTCGTTCCACCATCAAACCCTGCCGTGCGATTGCTCCGTGCCTGGGAACGTAGTCTCAATGTTGATGGTGCTACCTGCTGTTAGCGTCATAGCGGTTTCTCTGTGTGATCGCAGGCTGAAAAATGACTAGCATTTGGGACATGCTAAGTGTACAATAACATTCAAACTGTCCATTTGGAGTGCTCTGCCAGGGGAATCAATTATCACAAAGAGTTTCAGAGGGCTCAGATTGCTATTAAATGATGTCTTTCAGTGGTTTTGATAGGAGAATTCAGCAGCCATTTATCTCTATTAAAGGAACGTGTTGAAATGATTGGATAATTTGGGGTCAAGTTTGCCTAGCCTGACTGGAGAACACAAGATAAACAGTTAAAGATTGTGTTTTGATTTTCAGCGGTGTGTGCAGCAGCTGTGTGATATCGGGGATAAGTACTGTATTATATTCTTGTTTACAAAGCCAAGCTGTTCTTTAAATTAGTAAAGATTAATACTTCAGCCATGCTGGAAAACTATAGCTTTGTTTCCCATGGTGCCTGTTGATATTTCCCAAATGCAATGAAATTATTTTCATTTGTGTAACACACATTGCAATTGAATCATTGCTTTCTCTGTGGGGCATCACCAGCAGCCCTGCAGGGAAATAGAAAGAAGTGAAGACTCATTTTCTCTTAACCACAGTCTAATTTGTTTGCATTACTTCTTTTTTATTTCTGGAGTTTTGTCACAATGGTGGCTAGAGACGTGAATGGAGTGTTAAAAAGTTACAAGAGTTGGAAGAAGCCAAAGAAAACAGGCTGCTGATGCTCTGAGGTGATGGATCATACAGGTTCTTGGCATTGGGAAGGGTGTGCTTTGTCCTGGTTATTAATCTGTGGTGTTTACATTTGGTACAGTGAACCTTTCCAAAAAAAAAAAAAAAACGTACTTGAGCTACATAGTTATGATTGGATTTTGATGGGGTTTTTTTTGTTTGCTTGTTTGTTTGTATTTGGCAGGGAGTGTTTAACACGGGTGGACGTGATTTCACCACGTACCACATGTTCCTGGATCAACATCTTTGTTGATCCTGGATAAACTTTCCAATCAACCAATCAGATTTGAGGGACAAGTTTACAGTTTACATCAAGTTTAGGCTTAGAACCAGGGTGAAGTATCGCAACATCAGTGTTATTTACCTATCATTACCCTCTGATTTTAGGTAAAAGTTATGGGTAGGGTTAGATTTAAGGCCTGTTCACACCGGGACGAAGAAATAAGACAAGGATGATGCAAGGCAACACAACCAGGGTAACCAAGACAGTGTAGTCTGATTCCCAAACGAATTATTCTTATGAACCGTTTCTGTTTAGTTAATCAAAGAAATTCAGTGCAGTCTGATTGTAGAACGAATCGCTTTTATGAATCGGTTCTTTTTGTGAATCAAATACATTCTGTACTTTCAACTAAGGCCCTTTTTACACCTTGTATTAAAGGGTTAGTTCACCCAAAAATGAAAATTAAGTCATTAATTACTCACACCCATGCTGTACCAACCCCGTAAGACCTTCGTTCGTCTTCGGAACACAAATGAAGACATTTTTGATTAAATTTGAGAGGGCGATCACTATTTCATAGACTGCCTAAGGGATCGAAACTTGACGGCCCAGAAAGTCATTGAAGAAAATTTTTAAATATTCCATGTGACAATAGTGGCTCAAGTATAAGTTTATCAAGCGACGCGAATACTTTTTGTGCGAAAAAAAACAAACATAAATAACGACTTTATTCGACTACAGCTGAAGTAGTTGAAGGAGATCGCAACTCTCGTGCATGTGTCGTGAAAATCTCTTGAACTCTCGTCTCAGGCTTACAAGGAAGAAAAGGAATAGTCAAATAAAGTCGTTATTTATGGGTTTTTTCGCACAAAAAGTATTCGCGTCGCTTGTTAAACTTATACTTGAGCTATACTATACTACTTGTACAAGTTTCAATCCCTTAAGCAGTCTATGTAGCAGTGATCCACCTCTCAAATTTAATCAAAAAGATCTTCATTTGTGTTCCGAAGATGAACGAAGGTCTTACAGGGTTGGTACAGCATGGGGGTGAGTAATTAATGACTTATTTTTCATTTTTGGGTGAACTAACCCTTTAAGATGTGGATCACAAATGGATGACGCTAAATACATGTGTAAACGGGGTCTAAAACGCTTTCGACCGCTTCCAGACGTAGTCGAAAACATTAGACCGGATTGCTTCCAGAGCAAGACATTGACGAATAATTATACATCATCTCACTATAGGCTCCGTCCATTGGCGTTCAGTCACTTGACAACTGACACTTGCTACACTGGAAGTGAGTGTCGCATCAAAAGCAAATAGAACTCATTATAATCACTGAGGCTGTCTACACTAAATATGCATGTTTTACGCTTCAGTCTGCCGGGACAACAAGACAAATGGAAGCGTATGAATGTTCGTTTTGACGTGTCCAGTTTTAAACAGCTTGTTTGTGTCTTCAGAGGGATCCCAGCATCAGAAGCAAGTTGATGGTTTATTTTTAATAGCGTCCTGGATCGCGTTGTATAATTATGTTTTTTCAGAGAATTTGACCACAGATTGTTTTGTAAATGAGGCACGGTGTAATGGAGTCCGCAAAAAAACTTTTGTTGAAAGATGAAGCAGCCGACTGTATTAAATCTGACAGCAAGCCATAAGCAGATGGTTTCATAATGCTTTGTCTGCAATGACGTTAGCCAATCATAACAGCAGCCGTTTACTGACCAGCCATAAAGGAGTCACCTTTAAAAACATCATTAACATTATAAGTAAACCTCAAGGAACTTCTTAAAATAATAAAATAAATCCATGTCATGACCCCTTTAAGGAACCGGAATCATTAAATTGCTTATTATTGCAACTCTATCCCATATCCATCATTCAAAATACCAAAGAGGAGAGCTTTGTTTCATAAATAAAACATTTTTAATTGATCACTTGATATTCGCATGGCTTTCACGTCACATTTTTGTCATTTTTGTCTCATGCAGGACAACAGAAGATTTTTGACCCTTTTGACCTTTGGTGCCATTTTATGTTGGTAAATCAGTGCGTGAATCAGACGAAGCAATCAACTCATGCATGCAAGGGTGGATGCCATTCTCGCATGACGAATATCCAGAGATTTGATATGATCATTTTCAGCCCACATCCTCTTTTCTAGATTAAAGAGTGCATCACACACAAAGTAAGATTGTCAGCCGATCTGATTTGTCTTGGCAGTGTTGAATGGACACAAAAGGGGCCAGCTCTTTGACCTCTGACCGTGTAATTAGCGAAATGCTTTTGGGAGAGGGCAGTCACACTGCCACTGCTAAATATAATCAATCAGCACCATACTTCATGCCTGAGAAAACTGGACTCCCTTTGTGTGAGTGCATTTTTGTAATTACTTCACAATTAACCAACATTTATGGCACTCTAAGGCTGTTTAAAGTGGTGTGTATAGGAATCATTAATGCATATTTAAGTTTGAATGATGTGATAAGAGTTCTTTTGTGTTCTTTCATCCAATGGCTGGCTATTAGGAATTTGGATCATCACATACCAGATTTAAATTTTGATATAAATGCCATTTATAAAGCAGATTTTGAGTGAACTGTGCTGATATAATGTAAAGGAATATTACATACACTATCAAAATTTTGGGGTAAGATCTTTCTTTTTTTTTTTTTTTTTTTTTTTACAAAATATCAGGATTTACAATTTTAGGCAGCAATTGTTTTCAATATGAATAATGAGAAATGTTACTTGAGCAGCAAATCAGCATGTTAGAATGATTTCTGAAGGAGTAATGATGCTGGAAATTCAGCTTTGGCATCACAGGAATAAATTACACTTTAAAATATATAAAAATAAAATACTGTTATTTAAAATGGTAATAATAATCATAATAGATGCAGCCTTGGCGAGCATTAAAAACTTACAAACTTCAAACTTTTGAACGGTAGTTGTAATGGGGCTCTACTGGTTGCGAAAATTAGTCACCAATATGGGGTGTCTAGTCAGGACACGGAAGGCAGGAATACTTGTTGAAAGCTTTAATGTATACTTTCCTAATACAGATGCACAGGCACTATTTCTATGTATAAACTTTACTGTGTAGGTGTGGTTCTAAAGAAAAGGAAATAAACATTGATGTCAACTAACATAACACAACTGAGGCTAATACTCTCTCTAGTCATTTAAATAAACAGGGCTAAACATATTCTGAAATGTGAACTTCAATAAGAATGCCATACCATCTACACATAATAGAGAAAAAGGCTGTTACTGACATTTAACCATCAAATGCTAAAGTCACTTATTAACTTATAATACTTTATAACTAATGACAACTTACTTGTGGTCACTGACGCACACGAACACAACCTGAAGCTTATCTTGCAAAGTGAAACTAAACTGAATGCTGTTCTCTGCAAACCAGGGCATGTCTCAACATGTCAGAAAAGGGGCGTGGTCTGATCGATCACTTGCTGTACTGCTCTGTCCAGTTCACATCACTTGATCCTTTTGCACAGCCGCCCCATAATTCACGATGTGAATTATCTTCTAGAAAGACTCAACTATCCACCGGAGCTGTGGTCGAGACATTATCCGGAATGGCCGGCAGCTCAATGAGCTTGGCCACCGGTCTGGTGTAGGTTCTCTCTTCCACCTGTACCTCAGCAGTCCTCACTTTACCATCGACACTCCTAATGGTCTTCGTTACTCGTCCCACTGGCCACAATGCCCGAGGTAACCTTTGGTCAATTACCATCACCACTGTACCAACAGTGAGATTCTCAGTGTCCTTTACCCATTTCTGCCTTGACTGCAAGAAAGGCAAGTAGCTACGAATGAAATGGGTCCAAAACTGGTCAGCTAACACCTGACTGTGCCGCCATCTTCTCCGACTTAGAATCTCAGACTCAGGGTACACCACCTGAGGAAGCGAAGAGTCAGGCCGCCCCATGAGGAGGTAGTTGGGAGTTACGGGATCCGCATCGGCTACATCTGTTGACACGTAGCCCAGTGGCTTGGAATTGAGGATTCCTTCCACCTCAATCAGAACTGTCTGCAAAACTTCTTCGGTCACTGTCTGTGCTCCCAGAGTGACGTAGAGTGCAGCCTTAATGGATCTGACTTCCCGCTCCCAGGCTCCACCAAAGTGAGGTGCATTTGGTGGATTGAACTGGAATCGGATCTGTTGCTTAGCCAACTTGATTTGCAGCTCTTCACCCATGGCCTCAAAACTTGCTTTAAGCTCGTGCTCCCCTCCGCGGAAGTTGGTCCCACAGTCAGACAGAAGCTCAAAGGGAGTTCCTCGTCTAGCCACGAACCTTCTAAGTGACATGAGGAACGAGTCGGTATCCATGTTAGACAGCACATCAAGGTGAACGCACCTGGTCGTCATACACTTAAAAACAATTCCCCATCTTTTTTCCGTACTCCGACCTCGCTTGACCTGGAACGGGCCAAAGCAATCTACTCCTGTCGAATAAAATGGAGGCTTCAGGAGGCGGAGACGACAAGGGGGTAGATCCGCCATCTTAGGAATAACAGGCTTTGCTCTCCATTTCTGGCACTCTGGGCAGGATCTCTGATGACGACGCACAGCTTCGCGGCCTTGGAGGATCCAAAACTTGCGTCGGAGCTCTGCGAAGACCCTCTCTGATCCAGGATGGAGTAACTGGTTATCATATTGCCGTATGATAAGTTTGGTAATATGGTGCTTCGGTTCTAGCACAATTGGGTGTACGACATCTTCTTCCAGACTAGTAGAACGGCGCAGTCTACCACCTACTCGGATAAGGCCCATAGAGACGTCGTACTCTGGAGCAAGTGACAAGAGCCGACTGCTAGATGGAAGTGCTTTCCCTGCTTTTAGGCACTTAACTTCATCCGGAAAGCTATCATATTGTGCTCTCTGAAGGATTCGGAGTTCAGCCTCTCCGTAGTCATCCGCACTGAGGGCGCTCGACTGGAAGGCCGCCCCGTGAAGGGACTTACTTGTTGCCTCAAGGAGATCTTCAAAGGTAGAGTGGTCTTCAGGGGCTGGGATCTCTGGAGCAGTAATGGCTGACATGAACCCACAGAAAGCAGACCTCTTCATCTCTGTTTCATCTGGGACCTCCACGAAAGAATTTGTAGCTGGCCAACTCTCACGTGGTAACCGGAGGAAGGCTGGACCTTGGCTGAACTGGTTTGGTTTGGCTAAGTTGGATAATGTCATCCCTCTTGTGATAGGATCTGCAGGGTTATTCTGAGTGTCCACATACCTCCATGCCCGGTGATCTGTTAGCTCCTGAATCTCAGATATACGAGTTCCTACAAACACCTTGTATCTGCAGGACTCTGACTTTATCCAGGCAAGTACGGTGGTGGAGTCAGACCATAGCACTGTGTCCCTCAACTGAAGGGTGAGCTCCCTCTGGATCATCTGGGCAAGCTGAGCTCCGGTAAGGGCCGCACAGAGCTCAAGGCGTGGCATTGACTGTTGTTTCTTCGGTGCCACTCTTGAGCGTGCCAGCACAAAGGCTACATGGACTTGGCCTTGAGGATCCTCACCACGTAGGTAAGCAACCGACCCATAAGCGGACTCTGATGCATCACAAAAGACGTGAAGCTCGAGGGTGATGGCACTTACATCCACGTCCAGTGGGAAATAACTCCGGGAGAGACTGATCTTTGGGAGCTGAGGGAGCTCTTCTTCCCATGTAGTCCAGGCTTGCAGGAGGTCGACCGGTAAGTTTGAGTCATCCCAGTCACGGTCTTTGGCCCACAGTCTCTGGACCAAAACTTTGGCCCTTGTGGTGAATGGCAGGATATGACCTAGGGGATCATACTGGCTTGCTAATATCTTATAGATATGTCGCATGGTGGTCTGGCTTGGGGCAACCGGGCGATGCCTGTAATGGAGTGTGTCCTCCATGAAGTGCCAACTGAGGCCTAGCGTCATCTCTTGAGCTTCACCATGCATCTCAGAAACCCATCTTTCGCTGCTATCAGACTTGGCCTCCTTAGGCAGGTTGCAAATCACCTCTGGCTGATTACTGGCCCACTGACGAATTTCGAAGCCACCTGCAGCTAGAAGGTTTCTAAGCCTCGTCACAAGGTTACTTGCTTCTACTACAGTGGGTAAACTCTGCAGGCAGTTATCAACATAGAAGCACTGTTCGACACTGTGGCGGACATTCTCCCCTGGTTGACTTGACTCATTGACGTGTTTCTGTAGAGCAAAGATCGCGCAGCAGGGGCTGCACGTTGTCCCGAATGGCAGGACCTCCCACTGGTACACTGATGGCTGTTCGTCTGTCTTTAGATCCCTCCAAAGGAACCTCAACAAGGGCTTGTCTCTGTCCAGAAGGCGGATCTGGTGAAACATCCCTTTAATGTCACCACTTACTGCGACTCGATGCTCTCTGAAGCGCAGGAGGACTCCAAGGAGTGAGGGTCCTAAGGCTGGGCCAGGAAGGAGGTAGTTATTCAAACTTTGTCTGCCAAGCTGGAAGCTGCAGTTGAAAACAATCCGTTCCTTGCCATTGTGTCTGACCATGTGGTGGGGCAGAAACCATGACTCTTCTGATGAGTCTGCTTCACAGGAGTCAATCTTGTTGACATACCCAGCAATCTCCAGTTTCTTGATCTCCTCTCGGTAGGTAGATGCACGCAGTGGGTCTTGCACTAACCTTTTCTCTGTGTTTCGCAGGTTCTTCATCACAACTTCCTTTGAAACTTTCAGCTTGGGCATGTTTGGGACTCGTAGAAGGGGTGTAGCGTACCGATGCACTCCGTTCACTTCTACACGGATGGTCTCGGCCTCTAATAAGTCCACTGAGTACTTGTCCTGTCTGGATCTGGTCACTAACCTCTCACTTTTGAAAGGCAGTGTATCTAACTGCCACAACCGTTCAACTTGACTGAACAGCTCAACAGATGGGGAGGAAACTGTGGTGAACAAGCACTGTGTGGTGGGAAGCTGTTGCTGCAGGTATTTTGCTGGGCCTTGGAGTGTCCAACCGAGCTTAGTCTTGACCGCTGCAGGACCACCAGGGGGACCTAAATGCACTGGCTCAATCGGAACGATCAGATCAGCATTATCTGATCCAATCAGGAGGGTTGGCTGAGCTCCATCAATGGGTGGAATTGTCAGACCTCGTAGATGTCGATATCTTCTTTGGAGCTGGGTAACTGGGTAGCTGTACTGAGAAAGGCCTAAGTGTTCACCCGTGAATGCGCCTTGAATGGAGAACCTCTTCGTTGGTTGGGAAGCAGGAGTAATCGTAAATGACACACGAGAGCCTGACAGTATCTTGATGTCTTGACGGATAGTACGGAGTGTGAGGTCTTCTGCTTGACCCTGTACTCCCAAGCGGCGTGCTGCAGATGAAAGCAGGATAGTTCTCTCAGAGCCATCATCCAGCACTGCATATGTGTCGAGTACTTTATCCTGGTATTGCAAATTGACTCTGACAATCTTCAAAAGCACCTGGCTATATCTATTTGGCTGATCCAGGTAGTGAGTCTCTGCTGTCGACATGATGGTAGGCTCGTTCTCACTCCTCTGATTAACCTCATGTAGAACAGAAAGGTGCTTTGACTTGCAGAGGCGACACGGTTTCTTGAGGTCACAGGCGGAGGCTAGATGGGAACGTCCGCATCTCCAGCACCTTCTCTTGACTTTAATCCAGTCCACCATCTCTGCTTTGGTAAGCTTAGCAAAACTCTCACATTGGCTGAGGTAGTGTTCTGCTTCACAGTAAGGGCAGTATATCTTACCCTTCACTTGGGTTCGGATAGAATGAGCTACCTTGGAGGGCGTGTTGGATGGATGGTTACTGGAACTGCCTGTCCCATGCATAACAGTAGTGATCTTAACATTGGACTTCTGCTGCTTGTATTCTCTCCTATCTTTCTCACTGTGAGCTTGAAGTGAGGGCTCAATGTCCAGGCATCTGACTTCTGCCTTTAGCCATTCTGAAAAGTCAGTGAGCGTTAGCTTCAACTTATCAGGATCCTTCCTATACTGTTGACGACGAAATCGCTCTTGCTGGTGCTTGGGGAGCCTGCTTAGAAGGCGCTTCACATTTGAGCCACAGTGGAGTTCCTCATGGCCTTCACCTCTGAGAGCTTTCAGCATGCCGACTAGTGACTGCACTCTAATGGAGAACTCATCAAGTGCCCTATCACTTCGGATCGGGGGTAGGCGTTCCATGTCCTCTATCTCTTTCAGCACAAACTGATATGGACGTCCATAGCGTTCATCCAGCGCTTTCAGAGCTTCAGAGTAGGGCATATTAGACTCTGCATGGGCTAGCACTAGGCGATGAGCTTGTGGCACCTTGACATGCTTCAGCAAGATGGCATACTTGTAATGCTCCGACTGAGATGGATGAAGAAGGGTGCTAAGAGAAAGGCGTAGCTCCACATATTGAGCTCTATCCTCCTGGGTGAAGTCCGGAAATGTTGGGCCTTCTATATTGAGGGGTGGATGCTGATACCCAGTGGAGGGATAATGAGCCAACATGGCTGGATTTCCTTGGTAGAATGGTTGGGGTACATAAGGAGGCTGGAATGTTGACTGGTGCATGGGTAGAGGCATCATCTGATCAGTAGCTGGACTTACATGTAGCGATCTGGGAGGAGCCACATGTGGAAGATAGTTATGAGGCTCAAGTGGCACCCGATGTGGATTTCCTAACTGAGACTCTCCACTTTCCTTGTGCTGGCTGCTGGTTGTAGCTGCGTTGAGCTTACAGTTACTTGAAATGGGATAGGATAAGAGTGAGCTATCTGAGGAGACATTTCTTAGAAAGCCTACTGAATGCTGTAGGCCCTGGGGTGACCCTTTAGGATGGCTGGGCTGAAGGTGAGCTGGTGGATCGTATTCAGTATCCTGCTTAATAGACTGAATGTCATGGCATGGATTGAGCGTGTGCTTAGGGGGTTGAATGACTCGGCTAAGAGGCGGAGGAAGTGTCATTTGTTCTAGCTGATGGCTTATTTCTGCAGTTTCACTTGGGTGATCCTCAGTTCTGTGGTGGTGAGGAGCAAGGGCTGGGGAAGGCTGTGGTTCACCTCCTCGGTCTGGATAGAGTTTTCTTACTGGGGTCTGATGCCGTGATGACCTCCTTGACCACTGAGCTGAGGTCTGAAGGGAATGGTGCTGCAGGAAAAACTCCAAAAGCTCTGTTTGTTTCTTGGCCGTTTCACTCTGTTGGCGCGCTGTCTCCAAAGCCTGATGAACAATGGCGTCATTTGCATTCTGCATTGGTGTCATTGAGGATATGCTTCTAGCAGGACTGAGTAGATTCCTTTCCTCTTCGTGCCTGTGCATCTGCGCTAAGCTATGCTGGTCTGTATATTCGACTAAGAAATCATCCAGATATCTTGGGCGTTGCACTGCACGTTTGGGGCGCACAGGTGAAACAGGGAGGCTGATTCCTTCTTTACTGGTTGCCATATCGTTGACTCTGATCCGGCTCGAAGGACCATAAATTGTAATGGGGCTCTACTGGTTGCGAAAATTAGTCACCAATATGGGGTGTCTAGTCAGGACACGGAAGGCAGGAATACTTGTTGAAAGCTTTAATGTATACTTTCCTAATACAGATGCACAGGCACTATTTCTATGTATAAACTTTACTGTGTAGGTGTGGTTCTAAAGAAAAGGAAATAAACATTGATGTCAACTAACATAACACAACTGAGGCTAATACTCTCTCTAGTCATTTAAATAAACAGGGCTAAACATATTCTGAAATGTGAACTTCAATAAGAATGCCATACCATCTACACATAATAGAGAAAAAGGCTGTTACTGACATTTAACCATCAAATGCTAAAGTCACTTATTAACTTATAATACTTTATAACTAATGACAACTTACTTGTGGTCACTGACGCACACGAACACAACCTGAAGCTTATCTTGCAAAGTGAAACTAAACTGAATGCTGTTCTCTGCAAACCAGGGCATGTCTCAACATGTCAGAAAAGGGGCGTGGTCTGATCGATCACTTGCTGTACTGCTCTGTCCAGTTCACATCACTTGATCCTTTTGCACAGTAGTGAATAAATAAAATCATATTAAAACGATTAATTTTTTTAATACTTTTATTTTGATTTTTTTTTTATTTAATTCCAGAAATTATGCCATTTAATTTAAAGTGTAATTTATTCCTGTGAATTTTCAGCATCATTACTCCAGTCTTCAGTGTCACATGATCCTTCAGAAATCATTCTAATATGCTGATCTGTTGCTCAAGAAACGTTTATTACTACTATCAATGTTGAAAACAGTCACTGCTTAATACTTTTGTAGAAATCTGATGCATTTTACTTAGGATTCTTTGAATAGAAAGTTTAAAAAACAGAATTTATTTGAAAAATGTTGCCTTTACTGCAATTTCTAATCAAATGAATGTGTGCTTGCTAAATAAAAGTAGTAATTTCATTGAACAGTATAGTGTAAATATGTATGGTTTTAGTTTGGTAGGTAATAGTTTGGATCATTTTTGTGTTTTTTCCTGTGCAATTTTTTTTCCCTGTTTTGTTTTCCTATTCTTCATGCAATTTCATGCCAGAATTTAAGTGCAACCAATGTAACCACATACAACATATAATATCTTACTCATTCAGGTCAACTCGAAGAGGATGGGTTTCCCTTTTGAGCGTGGGTTCTTCCCAAGGTTTCTTTCATGGACTGAGGGGCTTTTCCCTGCCATGGTAAGACATTGACACTACTTTAGAACAATCTGTAATCTGAAGCTGAAGAACTGGCACCAAACAGAGTGTCCATAATAGCAGAAAACACTGTAGCCCTCTGTTCCATTGTATTATCTCAAGGATTTTAGGCAGGACAAATCTTCACAGCTAGAGGTCAACTTCTTTTTGCCATGGTGTTTGTATTCCTGGAGCTTCTCGCTTTGCCTAAGGCATCGCCCTGTAAGAGAGTTTTTGTACATGATGGAAAACAGTACAGTCTGATCCGCTTTCTGCATTCCAGTCAACCTACAACATGACATATTTGGAATGTCATTCATGGGCTCTCAAAGACACTAAGGGACTCACAAAAAACATTGGACTGTATTTTGTACCATCCTCGTCATACATATTAAGTCCAATATGAAGCAGACAATGTTCCATTATTATTCTGGTCTGTTTGGGCGAACATGAACAATGATGTTTTATACAGTTTTGATGTGGTGAAGGGCAAACCAGGCAGTTATAATAGTCGTGGGCAGAAAAGTAACTTAATATAAAAAAGATTACCATCAAATATAAACCTTTTTTTTAGGTCCCCCCATGTTATATTAAATGTCTTTAACTTTTTTTTTTTTATTTTATGCAATACACTTATTGTAAATTGTACTTATATTTAAAAAATAATTTCTGAAATTACTAATTCCAAGTTAATCTTTAAAGAACACTCATGATTTAATAAATCTTTAGCCAATCTCAACCTGAATTGCCTATCCATTTTTCATATTATATTAAAGTGTTCCTAAATTCACTTGTAGCATTTAAAATTTCTTTATTTGAATATATTTAGACAAAATAGTCATTTTAAATTATCTGCCATTTATCAGTTAAATGGGTGGTAAAATAGTGTGCCGAAGTTATGACGTCACTTTGTAGGCCAAAACGCGGAAGTGAGTTAGCATTTTAGCACTTCCGGTTCCCTCGCTCTAAAGTCTATGGGTTTTTTGAATGGGTTTTTGCTAAATCGCCTGAAAAAAGGTCTGTGGTGAACAAAGCCTTTAAATGTTTTCACGTTTTGATATATGACATAAAACAAACCAGTTACAACCTGCTTGTGGTTTTTTTTTTTTTTTTACTTTTTTGTGTCTGCTTGTGTTTTTTTTAACTTTATACAGGCTTCAAAATGTATAAACTTTGTATTAACTTGTAAAGATCATCTTGATAGACAAAATGTGTAAAGGTCACAACTCTTTGTTGAACACAGATCTTATTTTTTGCGATTTTCCAAAAGTCTATGGGGAAAATCCATAGCTTTTCAATCGAGGGAACCCATGCGCCGCTAGCTTCCGAGTTGTCCTACAAAGTGACGTCATCAGTTCGCCATTTTCACAAGATGTAAAATAAGTCTCTGATGTCTAAGTGTGTATGTGAAGTTTTAGCACAAAATACCACCCAGATATTTTTCAATAGCATGTTAAAGTTGTCACTTTTTGAGGGTTTACTAAAACGCACTGTTTTGTGTCTGGCCCTTTAAATGCAAATGAGCTACTGCAGAAGGCGGGGTTTCAAGAGCTCCCGTGTGTTAGCTGCTGCGATTACCTCACGAAGACACACTAAAATGACAGAAACTGTTCTCCCTTTAATGTTAAAACGAAGTCAGTCAAAGATGGAGAGACTCAAGAAGAAGTGACAACGTAGAATTCAACAGGACGCGTCTGAATGGTTAGTTGATGCATTTATGTTGCTAATGTGTTCAATCAGGATATTCTGTCATGGTAATCTATAAATCGCTCGTATAGGAACTGTTGTGAGATGCACACAGAGTGACTTTCTATTGCATGTGAAAAAATGGATGCTAGATTAATGTGCTCTTATACAACCACTCTTCCTCTTCACAACATGGACTGCGTGTTCCTGGGGGCGGGATTTTTGTACATTTTAGGGTTGCTGATGTCACTAACCCAGGAGGAATGTCATGTAGTCCCTACCGGCCGTTTGTTGTATAGTCCTTTTCTTTAAAAGCAAATATCTTCCTTAGCTTTGAACTTTGAGCGTTTTAACTTTTGATACTGTTGTTTATGCTCAAACAGCAACGTTACACACTAACAAAAGTTAGAAAAGTGAAGCCATACTTTACCACCACGATTATAATTATGACCTGGCTTTGTCTTACAATAATAGATGCAAATCGGGCCTTTTCATTGACATCAATAATGCAAGGACAGGTAGCATAAAAGTGGTTGTTTTGCATCATGCTGTGAACTGATAGAACAGAGCCAAGAATGCACAACACGCTACATTCCACAGAGGACACTAAACCCCATCAATATCGTCCTCTATCTCAGAGAGCTTGAGCAATAACATCTGCCGTTTACCCAGTCAAGAGTGCACTGCAGCAAAAGGCCATGATTTCTTCTTCAAACCCTCCATCGATTGACCAACAGCTGCCACTATTGAGAAAAATCGTTTCTATGAAATCAAGTGCCAGTGAAAACAGCAGAGGCCATTCATCAGAAGCAGGCCTGCTCTATTTGTTAGTGAGATTTTTTTTCTTTTTTGAGTGTGGAATTACTGAAAATAAATCATGATCTCTAGTTAGGTCTGCTGCAGAACAAGAAGTACTGTGTTTTCACTGGCTCAGACCGTCCTGAAAAGCAGGAGCCTCCGTTTAATCACAAAGCCGAGCAGATTGAGGGGAACACAAAACATTAGGAAGACTTGTTCGGAGGTCTGCGTTGAGATGGACCTTTAAATGGAATAATAGCAGAGCTCACTGTTTTTCAGCTCTTGTTACTTTTTTTTTCTTCTTTTTCTCAAATGTGTATCACTTTGATGTAAAGTGGTTTTGCTCTAGCAAAGACAACTCTGAAATCTGTTTGTCAGTACTTGGCTGCAATCTGCAGATAATAGCCGGGGTCTGCTGGGCTCTTCGCAGTGCCAATCGCAGCCAGGCTCCTCCAGCTGGGAGAGAAAATGGTGTTTTGGGGTTTTTTTTTTTGTTTTTTTTTTTTGACAAAAGGTTCTGTCAGGCTCTTCTCAAATCCCGTCTCACAGTATGTCAGATTGTGTATATAGTTGGTGTCGGAGAAGTAAATGAGTCAATATTCTGGTGTGTGTATACAATTTGGGCAAATTAATTATTCAAAATATATTTTTTATTTGTTGATTATTTGAATGTCATATAATTCATTTCCCAGCCAGGAATAATGAAGATATTATGCTCACCAAGGCTATGTTTCGGTTCGTTTTTATTTATTTGATGAAAAAAATACAGTAAAAACAGCAATATTTTAAGATGTATTTTATTCAGGTGTGAAGTTCATTCTAATATGTTGATCAAGAAACATTTCTTAATTATTATCAATGCCGAAAATAGGTTTTGCTGCTTAATATTTTCGGTGGAAACTGTGAAATAATCCTGAAAAAAATCTGTAATGATTATTAAGCAGCACTGATAATAATATGAACCATTATTAATAATTGAGTACCAATAATAGTTGATAAGTAAGTAGCAGATCAGCATATTCTGAAGGATCATGTGACACTGAAGACTGGAGTAATGATGCTAAAAAATCAGCTTTGCATCACAGGAATAAATCACATTTTTAAATATATTAAAATAGAATAAGATGTAATAATATTAGTATATATCGAAATAAATGTAGCCCTTGTGAGCATGAGAGCCTTCTTTCAAAATCATTAAAAAATCCTTATTATTCCAAACATTTTAGCTATAGTGTACTAACTGTTTCATTTCCCAAAATGTGCTGTTTGTTTGCAACTGTAAGCAAACAGTTTCAGCCTATGGCTTATCCATGCGCCGTCTTATGTATTGCACAACTACAGTTTTCCCTTTCACATTGGCTTTGAACGAGAGCTGAACAGAGTTCATGTCCCGGTAAACTCTCATGTTCTTGTGTGGCAGTGGGTGGGGATGGAAAGGCAGTGAGTGTGGACTGTCTCTCAGGACCATCAGCCAACCACTGTGACCACATGCTCCCACATCGGCCCCTCGCTGGTCTGAAGCTCCTCTAGATCCTGGGAGCCTCTTTGGCAAGAAGACTGTGAAACAGGCCACTCCTGATTCCATTTAAAAGCTAAGCGGATTTTCGAGTAGTGCTTGCCCGCCCAAAGCTCGGTAACAAAATACTAGGGTGTAGTGGGTGGTTGCCAGAGCGTTGCTAGGTGGTTGTTCTGGTGTTCTGACTGAGTTTTAGTACTGTATGTTGCAATGCCATTGGTAGGGTGTTTTGAATTTGGTTGTTTAGGGTTTCTATGAGATTGCTAGGGCGATTTATTTATTTATTTTTAGTGTGTTGTTTTGCAGTTACTATGTGGTGCTAAATAAATGGAA